CCATTAACTTGGTCTCTAAACAAGCCTCCAAAGACTATGGTATTCATGAAAAGGAACAATTGAAAAAACAAAAAGACAGTTAAATATAGTTTCAAAACATATAATAGAGAACTGAAAGGCAGAAATATAAAATATTTGAATGAAAGTTAATTCTGTAATATATTTTGATTATTTTAATCATGAAATAATAATGCAGAATGGAATTTGAGAAAACAATTCACTGTTAATAACTCATTCTTGAATTCCTCCCCTTTTTTGTTAGTATAGTAAGCCGAAGGTTGCACATCCTATGCATACCCCAGCAAAATATTACCATTGGGAATCATTGCTCTTGGCTGTTGTACAGTAGGACAATTCTCTGTGGAGAGATTGGAGCCTTAACCCTTTCCCCATTGTAGACGTATATATATACATTTTTACCGAAAGTGTCTTTTTCAGACACCGACAAATAAACGCATCCAAAACATAACATTAAAAAATCAGCTACTGACATGTTTATGCATTGATCTTGATTTTTTTTTTCCCTTCTGAGCTTGAAATGAGTCCAATTGTCAACTCATACATCTAGTAGAGGTGTTATTACTTCAAGGTGACTCAGTTTCTTAGTTACTATATTAAAAACAGATAAAAAAATCTGTCTGAAAATTAAATATTTCCTAAAATAATTGCCGATGAAGGGGGTTAAACCTAACCTGCCTGCTGATGAGTACTGTTGCTGCTTGTCACGCTTGACTGCACTCACTAAAGCTTTTCTATTTTTGTTACAGCTGCTGCTGATGATGATGATGAAGACTTGCTGTCATTTCTTTATCAGCAGCTACCATATCATATTTATTTCTATGCTAGGCCTACTAAGGAGGTCCTCATAGCCTAGCATATACACTGATTCTTTAAGCATTCCTACCTGTCCAGTATTGGAAGAGAACTTCTGAGCAAAGCACTCTAAATGCAGTAGATGTCAATATTTCAAATTGATTGAAGAGAGGAAGGACTGAGAATTTGTTATTTTCAGCACCCTCTTGCAGAGCTGCCAGTAATCTCTAGAACCAAATTGGTGAGAGGCTATACAGTGACTTTACTTCTTAGAGGACATGACTGTACTCATTACGAGCAATGACAAAGAAACATTTGTTACAATTGGATCTGGTGTTCTGGTATAGCTGGAAGAAGTGATTCCTGTGGGCTATAGTGGCTGAACAGGCAGGACAGAACCAAGATGATCTTATTTTAGTACTGCTCAGGACAATTCTGTGTGGAGAACTTGGAGACTTAAACCTAACCTGGCTGCTGATCAGTGCTGCTTGTCATGCTTGACTGCACTCACTAAAGATTTTCTGTTTTGTTACAGTTGCTCCTGCTGTTGAAGACTTGTTGTCATTTTTCTTTCTTTATTAGTGGCTCCCATACTGTATTTATTTCTATGCTAGGCCTATTAAGGGGATCCTCGTAGCCTAGCATATGTGTTGATTCTTTCCAATGTCTAACTATTGGATTTCAGTCAGTCAGTCAGTTATGTGCTAAGAGTGATACACGCTTAGGCCATGTATCTTTCGATACATGACTGATGAGGCAGATATCAGTAGGTTGCCATTTCTTTCTGCAGTAGACCAGTTGCCATCCAAGGCTAAAGAACCCGGTCTGTCCTGCTATTTACCCATAGCTGGAGGGAGAAGAAGAGGATTCATACATTTCTCAAGTATGTAAGTGAATGTAATGGATTCGACTGGAATTCAAACTCAGCTCTCTGATTCCTCAATCTAAGCCTCTATTCATTACTCCACCGTATCTTCTCAACTATTGGATTTACTATTCTTTAATGAGCCTGAGAAAGGCTAATCTCTTCTTCCAATGTCTGTGTGAAAAATAATATGATAGATTAGGTTCTAAGTATTCAGCTCTTTAATATATCATCTAATACAATTAATCTCTTCATTGATTACTTCAAATATTTAATCCCTAAATGGATAATCCTGGGTTTTTAATCTCTTAATGCATCATCTCATGTATGTAGCCCATTAAAAGGATTATCTTATGTATTTAACACATTTATGGTTTATTCCAAGAATATCAATATTCTTCAGTGAATTATGTAGAGTATTTAACTTCTTTATCCATTTACCCTATGTACTTAACTTTTTAAAAGGATTATCCCATGGGTAGATGTTATACTTTATTCTACAGGAAAATCTATGAGAAAGTTGAAAACGTTTTGTGTTGTACATTTCATCCTTTAGAACTTTATGAGCCTAAAGTGATGTTTATGTTGATGTCATTATATTACATATGCACATAATGGAAAGCAGATGCTAAAACTTTAAATTTAAATATTTTTTATATGTATTTTGGGTATTGATGTAATGAATATGCATACAGCTGGGTTCCCCCTCACAGTAATATGATTGGCTGGTGTCAGCCATAAATACAAACTGATGTGGAGGTACATGGACTCTGCCTATTATCTTTGCCTATTGCCTACCACTACAATGAGGATCAGTCCATTACAGTTACCTGCTAGATTGTCCTACTCGGTTACAGTAGTCCAAAACCACTTTGCTACTTCAAACAAATATATTTCTGGGCCATATCAGGTATATAGTCTCTAGCTGATTTTATTTACTGTATATGATGGCATATAAGATGCACAGGTGTATAATTTGCACCCCAATTTCAGCAGGGTAAATCAAGAAAAAATTAATTAGTAAAATTTGTAAAATTATTAGTAAATGGTACAGCCTAAGCTATATTTATGAGGTGTTATTTTTGGTTAAACAAGCCATGATTACAATTAAACGAAAAATAATAGAAAAAAAAGAACATGATCCTATAAAAATGTTATTATATCCTTTACCTCTCGTCTTGTAAACGTCTTATTGGAATAATTAGGATATAAAAATCCTGAGTGTATTTATACCATTGCAACTGAAGTTATCACAAGAAAAATATTAATGAAACAATATTTTACAAATGTATAATTTGAATTTGTTGCATATAATTTTAGTGAAACAAAGTACTAATATTGAATGTAATGAAATTAATATAATGAATATTATCAATGATAACACTTAATCTGCATAACAGCCTTTTAAATAATGACAATAGGTATATAAAAGCTACTTTAAAGTCTAAGCTAATAGGAGTTGTCAGGTAGCTAATTTGGGTCGACTATCACAAATTTTAAATCTACATATGGCATATAAGATGCAGGGAAATTTTAAAATATATTTTTAGTAAAAAAAAAAATGTGCCTTATATGTCGTCATATATTGTAGTTTCTTTTACTTTATTATTTTATCACTTTTGTTTTTGTATGTAAATATCCTGCTTTATCGTCCCATACTTTAATCTTTCTGAACATCAAATATCATCTTTGCACATAGAAAGGTTGATAGGAACATCAAATTGATATTGAGGTTGATTGAACATCAAATATCATCTTTGCACATAGAGAGGTTGATAGGAACATAAAATTGATATTGAGGTTGATTGAACATCAAATATCATCTTTGCACATAGAGAGGTTGATAGGAACATAAAATTGATATTGAGGTTGATTGAACATCAAATATCATCTTTGCACATAGAGAGGTTGAATTCTTATGAAGAGAATGGCATTTAAATGCAAGTATAAATTTTATTTCACAGTGTTTGTGTATTGCACATCAGATCTATCTTGACACCTTCTGGCTTCATCATGATTGCCATTTTGAAGCAGGAACAGAAACACAAAATAAGCCGAATAAGTTCAACTTATTTGTATTTTGAATATGGGAAAATTAAAAGTAGATTCGTTCTCTAACCATGAAATTCACCAAAAAAGGCCTGCCTTTTTTTTAAAGACTTTTAGTTTTATTTATTTACATTTATTTTGCTGACCTTTTGACTCATGATGGGTGGGGGGTATTTTTTAAGCAGATAAAAAGTGAACAAAACAAAAAATATTTTTGAATCCTATATTACTCTTAATTCATGAACCAAAAAATACCTTCGAAATTGAAGTGCTGTTGGGAAAAAAAATTGAATTGATAATGGGAATAAGGGAGATAACTCAGTTAGCAAAACAAAAAATAAATGATTTTTTTTAAGCTTAATCTGAATTTGTTTAGTTGGCCTTATGAACCTGAGTCATGAATCAACTTTCTTTTAACGAGTGACGTCTTTTTTTTTATTATTAGATATGAAAACTTTGAAGTTAATCTTATAACTTATTTTTTATTATCATAACACAAAATAAAAACACTGTTTTATTTTATCAATTGGAAAAGAGCTGAAGATTCAAGCTAAACTTAATTTATGTCCCTTGAAAAATTTGATAATTGTTAAGTGAACAGTGTTTGTATTATCAAAACAGCAAAATCTGATTGGTTGCAGATAATGATTATAGCTTAACTAAAAGCATGAACAACCATGTGAATTATGCATTAAATTTCAATAGGGAGATATTTTCTTGTACTTTTATATAACTACTAAATAATTAACAAAATATACTAGTGTGTACACAGCCAAAAAGTAAAAACATTTAAATTTAATTATTGTGTGTGTGTGTGTGTGTGTAAAAGTTCATTCATCAATAACCTGGAGGGAAAGATATTATTGCTAGTGGGAACAAAAGGTTGTGTTGATGCTGCTACTACATCTTGGAGAAGGAAAGAGAAAGAGGAAGATTATGTCTATCCTTTTATAGTACTTAAACAGTGCCACCGAATGAGCATCTTGGCAGCCGAGTGTGGATAATTCCCACTGTCTGAAATAATAGGTGTGGCAAATGCTGATTGGCTGAAGGAATTATAAAGTTTGGAAATAAAAATAAATCTTTGTTCTTCTTTTTACTTGTTGAATGTATTACACTTCCAAATATAGAAACATAATTTAAAAAACATATTAAGGATTTTCAAAAGAAAACAAGATTCACTTTTTAAGTTATTTTGATTTCAGCACTTTTTTAAGGAACAAATCTAACGTAATGAGGAAATAGTTATTAAGGGGAACATTTGAAGTAGGACAAAGAAGATGAAGGCCAAGATTTGATCAGGGGATGAAAAGAAAGAATAAAATATGAAAGATAGAAAAAAAAGAGTCTTACTGGGTGGGAATGGCAGGGAACAAAAGCAAAGTTATGGAAGAAGAAAAATGAAAGATAAAATTGGTTGTTTTATTTTTTTATTTTTCTTCAAACTTAGGAGGTGAAGGAAGAGAAAAAATATAAAGTAAAATTCTAAATAAGTTAATAGATGAGAAAAGAAACGGAGAGGCAGAAGAAAGAAAAGTAAAAGAGAAAAACGGTAGAATGGAAAGAGAAAGAAAAAAGAACAGAGGAAAGAACAGAAAGAAGGAAAAAATATGAAAAGGAGAGAGGAAAAAAAGAAAAAAAGAAAGGAAGAAAAAATAGGAAAAAGAGAGGGAGAAAGAAAATAGGAAAAAGAGAAAGGAAGAAAGAGAAAATAGGAAAAATAAGAGGGAGAAAAAGAAAATAGGAAAAACAAGGAGAGAAGGAAAAGAAAATATAAAAGGAGGGAAAAATAAAATATATATAAATATAGAAAGAAAAAAGAAAATATGAAGAGAGAAAGAAAAAGAAAATATAAAAAGAAAGGAAGAAAAAATATGAAAAAAGAGAGGAAGAAAAAATATGAAAAAGAAAGAAAGAAAATATGAAAAAGAAAGAAAGAAAAAGAGATAGAAAATAGGAAAAAAGAGGAAGAAGAAAGATATGAAAAAGGAGGAAGAAAGAGAAAATAGGAAGAAAGAGAGAGAAAAAAGAGAAAATAGGAAAAAAGAGAGGGAGAAAAAGAAAATAGGAAAAACAAAGAGAAGAAAAAGAAAATATAAAAGGAGGGAAAAATAAAATATATATAACTATAGAAAGAAAAAAGAAAATATGAAAAAAAGAGAGGAAGAAAAAGAAAATATAAAAAGAAAAAGCAAGAAAAATAAAACCTAAAACAAAACAAAGAAAATATAAAAAGCAAGAGAAGAAGAAAAAGAAAATAGGAAAAAGAGAAAAAGAAAATATAAAAATTGAGAGAAAAAGAAAGAATAAAAGAAAAAAATACCAAGATTAGAGAAAGAGAGAAAAGAATGATTAAGAAAAAAAAAAGGAAAATTCTTTAAGATTACGGATGGAAAGATAGAAAATTGTAAAACTAATGAAGAACAAAAACTAAAGAAAATCATAAAAAAAAAACAGCTTTTTCATATATTTTCATTGTTTTTTAATCTCTCTTTGTTTCATATTCTGAAATGAAATATTTCAGTGAGTGACCAGACAAAACAACAAACTGATAAATCAATTAAAGATTTTTTTTTTAATGATGAAGCCTAAATTAATTCTGAGAGAGAAAAAAAGAAATATATTTCTAATCTTGTGAAATCAAAAGGAAAATAAAATATGGTGATTGCACAAAAAATGGAAAACTGACTGTTTTCAGACGTTTGATTAAACTGCTTGAAAAGAAAGACAGAGCATGAAACCAGACTTTTCGAATAAAAAAAAATTTTTTTTCTTGGTTTTTCCCAGCTGTAAGTTAGTGCGGAAGAGTTCTCAGCCTTTCTCATTCTCCAGGAACTGACCAAACAGATTTTTTTCGGTAGGCTTCTTGACTGGGTTGAGAACTTTTCCTCAACTTTTCTTAGTTAAAATAAAATGTTATAAACCATTTGCAAAGACGCATTATTTTCTCAAATAAAAAAAAAAACAAGGGATGTAACTCTGTTCCCCATTTTAGAAATGTCCCAGCAATCAGTATTCAATCACTTTCCCTTCCTACTTATATGGGCATTGGCAATGGATAGTGGATCAGATTGAGGAATCGGAGAGCGAAGTTCAAATTCTAGATGAGTTCATTACATTCACCTATGTTCAAATACTCTTAGAAGAAATATAAATCCATCTCTTCTTGCCCCATTCAGCTATGAGTGGTTCCTCTAACAAGAATGAGAAAGACATGATCAATCAGTAAGGGGTTTATCCAACAGGAATCAGAAAGACATGGTCAGTCCTGGACGGGTTCATCCAACAGGAGTGATAAAGACATGGTCAATCATGGTATAGGTTCATTCAACAGGAGTAAGAAAGACACAGTCAATCATGGAGTGGGTTTCTTCGAACAGGAGTGAGAAAGACATGGTCAGTCATGGGGGGGCTCCTCCAACAGGAGTGAGAAAGATATGGTCAACCAGGGTGAGGTTCCTCCAACAGGAATGAGAAGGTTCTGGATTTGGATTTGGCATGGCCCAATTGACGTAAAGTTTTCTTACCTGGTCATGTTTGACTGTCATCACTTTCAAAGTACTCCTCTTGGTTCTATTCATGGAAACATTCTTGGACCTTTCAGTAATGTAGCTACATGTTCCTGGATCTTTCAGTAATGTAGCCACATGTTCCTGGACTTCAGAGATATAAATATAGCTTTATTCTTTCAAGACATTTTTCATGTTTGGGAAATAACCATCACGGGAATTTGTTGGATGGCTTATTTTTGTGCAAGGAACCCACAAAATCCTAACACATCATTTTTCTCATTGCCAAATCGTCTGTTAGAATTTGTTGCTTCTCTATGCTATCAGTTGTGCACTTAATCTTCAATCTGAACACACAAAGGCTCACACACTGTTAACATTTGCATTTGTTCTGTGCATTTTTGTCTGCCCATTTCTTGCATCATTTTGCATATCTTGAACCAACTTTGATGCTCAAAAACACTCAAATTATCCAAAGTATATTCATTATGAGCCATTTTTAATAGGGCTGACACAGCTAAAATCTGCCATGTCATGTATAGAGGAGCAAACCATTTCTATTCAATTCATATACCATTAGTAAGAAGAAAGTTCCACTCAGACAAATCTTCTGAAGAACCCTACTTCAGATCGATACAATCTTAAGCTCTTCATGTCTCAGTTTAACTCTTATCTTTCTTACATATCCTCATAATCTGCACTTCTTACTTTCTCTCAGAATCTTCCTAACTTAAGTGGCATTTAGACTGGAAAAGTAATAAAATATATATATATATATATTATGAAATGGACAAAGTCCGACAATTATTTTTAAGACATTTTATGTTTATACATTCTTTTTATAGATACAAATATTTAAGTAAATGCTCTATTTATATTAAACAACATTTACCAGCTTGAATGTCTGAGAAATTTTCATGGAAAATATTCATCCTCCGACAGGATTCAAACCTGTATCCTATGCTGAATCATCATATACCCTGACATGTCTTTTAACCGATTCGGCCACAGAGGATCTTTTGGTTAGCAAGGTCAAATTTACTGCTTTTAAACTTCAATCATCCATGAATCTCTCGTGTACATTCATATCTGCTCAAAGCGTATCCAAATGTAAACAAAGGACATCACACATTATGAAATGGACAAAGTCCAACAATTATTTTAAGACATTTTTATGTTTATACATTCTTTTTATAGATATAAATATTTAAGTAAATGCTCTGTTTATAATAAACAGTTATAACAACATTTACCAGCCTCAATGTCCGAGAAATTTTCATAGAAAATATGTGTCCTCCGATAGGAATTGAACCTGTATCCTATACGGAACTGTCATATAGCCTGACATGCCTTTACCGATTGGATGTAACAAACCTGCCTATATGTTTTTTCAAATAGAGAAATGCATATTTTATATCTCTTGTGTACTTGATTTTCCAACGAAACTAATCCCTCATTTAATGGTCTATTTTTTTGTTTTTTGGTTAATTTTATTTAGCGGCATATCAACACCTCTATGGGTTATTTAATGCCGAAATCTAAATATTAAATTGATTTTGTTTTTGTGGCATATTAAACTTGGTTTTTAATGTTTTTTGATTGGTTTGTTTTTGGTCGATTTTATTTAGCAGCATATCAAAACCTCTATTGGTTATTTAATGCTGAAATCTAAATATTATGAACACAATTTTATGGCTTCAACTAAATATTTATATTTTTTTTGTAATTTTGCTATAAATAGGTATTGTTGGTAATTTTTAAATATAAAATCCATTTTATACTTTCATAGTGTTTTTTTTTTTTTTTTTGGGGGGTCATTATATGCCCATAGCTGGGACCCTAATAGGTGCCACCACTCCAAGTCAGGGTGGGCTTAGGAACGACAACAACAGTTAAGAGCTGGTTCCATGTCCCTCAAAATCTCAAATCTCCTGATCAGAGGATTTGCTGCTGAATGTAGTTTATTATCCTACCTAGGACTTTCATTTCATGCCCACACACTTAATGATTTCAATAGGCATGGTAACTGTCTTTCATTTAGCTCTTTTTGTCCTCCTCCTTTGTTGAATTGGGGAAAAAAAAAAAAAAATTCATTTTCAATTATATAATTATATTTCATATATCTACAGGAATTAAATTAGAAATCATTATTTATATATCTTTCTATCTTGACAAACTCGACAATCCTAGGTTTATACACGGAAAAACCGAAACAATATACTTCTAAAATCTAAGTAAAGTATTTTGCTATAAATCCATCCCTGCAAAGATTACTTAGTAAATTGCTTCAACACCTTAAATTCATCAAGAAATTATGGACTTGTGGGAGGGGGGGTACTTTATATTTTTGAGAATGTAAGTAGTTTTTAAATTAAAGAAAAAATTTTAAATCTTAAATTTTCAATTGGTGATGCATTTTAGTATTGTATAAAATTAATCCATTGTTATTACAATATTCTACTGTTACTTTTTTTTGTATTTCTTCTTATTGTTAAATTTAATTTTAACAAAAAGGCATTTTCAATCATAAAAGTAAAAACAAAGGCAGAAAGGCTATGTTTTAAATGGAGAATCGGACTTTATAGAAAAGTTGAAAAAAAATAAACATATCTCGTTAAAAGCTGTGCATTTTGTAAATTGAAAGAATGATTTTTCTGTTTTTTTTTCCTTTCAGTGATTTCTTTTCTTTTTTTTTTAACATTTTTAAAAATATTTTTTTACTTAAAAGATTCTGAAACAAGTTGAAGTATTTCCTCAAATAAAGGAATCATTCGATTGATAAACTCTTGAAAGATAAATGTTTGGTCAGTTATTTAAAGCTGAGACAAATTTTGGATTGCAAGAATAATTCTTTTTTTTTTCTTTGTAAGTGAATAAATCATTATTACTCTGTTCAGAATAACAATGATTTTTTTTTCAAATACACATCCTACTATTTAATCCACAGTTGGGGGGATAAGATGGGTTTCCACCTTTCCAAAGGGTTGTTGTAGGTAAGCGAATGTAATGAACCCAACTGTAATTTAAACAATTACTCATCTTAAGTAGCTATCCATTATACAACCTGCACATAGCTGGGTGGAGTGAGAAGAGATAGATTCACACCTTTCCCAGGGTGGGGTATATGCATGTAGGTTGTTGTTTTCTAGTAGTTTTGACTTCAAGGTCAGGATTAGTTTAGCCTAAAGTTATATCAACTGCTATTTATATAATGAAGATTTGCATATGAATACAACATAAATGAATGTAATGAACCTGACTAGAATTTGAACCTGGCTCTCCGCTTTTTCATTCTAAGCTGATATCCATTACACCACTTGCACATCCGACTGGCCATCACCAATCCAACATTCAATTATCCTGTTCAATCTGCAATCTGACGCTAATTTCCAGAAGAGAAATTTCTGATTTCCAATATTGTCACACAGGTCTACAACTGTTTGGTGTTAGCTGCTGCATCAACTGTTTTGGAGCATTTTTGAGCACTTTCAAACACCGCCAAGGCCAGTTCTGTGTATGATGATAGACTACATCCTGCAGCAAGGCCTCTCATATATATATATATATATATATATATATATATATTTTGTTATGGGACCTTACCCATAATAACATAATGGACTGTTCCATACGTAATAAATACTGTGCCTCAAGAGGAAGCAGAGAGTTCAGCCTGAAGTCAGGTGACCCGGCTGACTGGCTGATCGGTTGAACTCTGTGCCTTCGGGTGGGGAGGAACCCGAACAAGGCTATGCCGAAGGGTGGAGTCTCTTTCGGGGAGGTAAACCGACCCTGAACCCGTTTATATGAGTTCAAAGAGCATATTTTTGGCCGAGCCCACGGGCTCGGAGATCCCACATTAAACCGGCCTTGTGCCACATGATGTCCTCGTGGGGGGGGCCGTGACTAAATACTGTTCAGTCTGAAGTGAAGTCCGTCAGGAATCTGTCAGTCAGTCAGAGCGAGCGAATCAGTCAGTCGAGTCAGAGGCAGTCCGAAACAGAGTCGCGTTAAGACAGTTACTACAAGACATTGGAATGGTGATACTGATTAAGACTACATTGTTCTCTCTACTAAACCTGATTGTTCATACTAACATTTTTCGACCTCTCTGTATATATTCCTGTTTGTAATATATCTGTGTTATTCCATATTCCGTATTTGAGTTCTTCTTTATTGGTTCTACCTTGGACTATCACCGTGATACAAGGAACCAGACCATAAAAATATTCAAACAGGTCTGGTTAAATAATTTAGACATACTATGTCTGTTTATTTTGGTTGTGATCCTTTCAAGCCCACCAATTAATTTCTTGGTAACCATAGAAAATTGGTTAAGAAAAATACCAAAATTTTCTTTCAGTTAATTTTTATTTTCCCAAATGCTTTCAGTCTCATCTGAGACCATCTTCAGGTGG